GGTACTCTTTTAAGGGCCCATCAAAGGGTCTCCAATAGAATGTAAATTATTAGAATGTATACAAGATGCTTGTTTCTCCCCAAAGCTGAATTGACTGATATCAAATCTCACTCTGAGTTATAGTTTCACCATGAAAACAATAAGTTATGGGCAGCTTTTGGAATGTGAATGCAACTCCCCTGATTTCCCATATTCATCACAAAAAGAGTAAGGAAGCAAGAAAGTCTCTTTAAGGAAGTGCAAAGTGTCTTGCTTCCCCAACGTTGGCTTGACCAGACCAGAATGGCAACCAACATTCCATTGAGTTTACAGTATTTTCCTGAGAAAACAAGGAGGATCAGGTGTCAGTGCCTGCCATGCTGTAGAAATGACCAAGCACACCCTTCTGATGGCTTTGTCTTGAGCAAGCTGGACAGGGTACCCATCTGGTCCTTTCAGGAGCTGCATTTACACCCTCTCATAATTAACTGCTGGCCCACATTTTTCTCTGTAAATTTTGCTTAAAAGATTCCTTTAAGATTTTCAGAACTTTTGCTCTTAAAAGTGCTCTCGCTGACTGTTACGGCAGGAGTTGTCTGACCTAATAAACACTGCTTTTGTTAAAAAACAAGCAAGCAGAAACAACCAGAAGTATAGAAACTTAAGCAGCACTTAGTAACTCAATACTTGAGCAAAAAATGTTCTAAGATTTGGAATGTCTGAAAGTTGAACTAGGCTACTTTGCTATTCGTTTTAGTTGCTGGAGGAATTAAAACAGTAATTATACTTAGAGTTGTGTAAACGTAAAGTAATTGGGCAAATGTGTTCTGCTTGGTGGACCTAATGAAAATTGCTCCCTTTTGTGGTTCTACCCCTTTACATGACGTGGCTCGGTGAACAGAGATGGCCTTGGGAAGGAAATGTTTTACTAGAAATTCTATAGATCCACTTTGGAAGTAGGTATGACTGTGGAGCTGATGTCCTGTCAAGTTTACTGGGCTACAAATCCAAGTGCAACTTGGACATAACTCAGTGCTTTAAGTGTTCCAGTCTTCACATGGGAGAGACATGATGCTGTAAGCAAAGTGATGTGAGGGGGCCATTGTTGTAGCACAGAGGGCTAATTTACTGCTTGCAGCAGTGGCGTGGCATAATGGAGTGCCCATTTAGGTTCCAGATGCTCTGCTTCCAGTCCAACTCCCTGCTAATGCACCTGGGAAGGCAGCAGATGATGGCCTGACCTTGGACCCCTTTCTCTTCCTCTTTCTCTTCCATTCTGCCTTTCATACAAATAAATAAAGATTTTTTAAGTAATGTGAAAAGAATATAAACCTATTCTGCTGTCTTTCAGAACCATTCAGTGTAATCTGATTTATAACCTACACAACATTTCTCAGGCTTTGCCTCACTTAACTCCTGACCCATCCCAAACCTTTCATGCTGACCCCAGAGGCTCTCGCATGCCAACTCTCTGTAACTCAAAACAAAACTTTTCAAACACCGTGAGAGAAGACGCTAAACAAGCAAACATAAAACCTGTTCCTTGCTCCATATCTAGTTCTTGTTCTGTTTTTTTCTGATTCTTAAGGAGCACATACCAGAAACCAGGCTTAAAGAGATTAAATGATTATTTTTTTTTGGATAATTTCAGGGGTAGGAATATCTGTGTTAATACTGACTAAATCCTTGCCTGTAGTCCCTTCTATTAATCCTAAGGAAAGAGGCATAACAACCAATGTTAATAATCCTTATTGGTAAAGAATTTACAATCTCATGACAAAGACTGGACAAGAGCATGGCTTTGGAAATTAATAGAAAGCTAGCCTGAAGAGTTGGTGGTTACACTTAGCTGTTAGACAAGAGGTAGGTGGTTTGGGGAACTTTTGCTCATCAGTTGGGGATGCTTTTCTCCCCTCATGAGCTGCCATATTACTTCTCATGTGGACTCATTGTTGCTCTTAACCCATTCGGCTTTGAGTTAGTTAATTGAAGGTTTATTTTAATTTTTAGAAATTTTTTATCAGGAGATTTCAGAACTATTTTACTGTATTATTTTTTATTCTCTCCTGTTTTTCAAATGTTTCACAGCAATTATTGGCATGTATGTGACTTAAGTATATATATATAATAAATATTGAATAAATATATATATTCAATTATTTATTTTTATTGGAAAGTCATATTTACAGAGAGAAGAGACAGAGAGAAAGGTTTTCTAGCCACTGATTCACTCTCCAAGTGTCCACAACAGCCAGAGCTGAGCTGATCCAGAACCAAAAGCCAGAGCTTCTTCCAGGTCTCTTTCACTGGGACAGTGTTCCAAGGCTTTGGAGAGACCTCTTCTGCTAGCCCCGGAGCTGGAAGCAGGGTGCAGCCAGGATACAAAGTAGCAACCACACGTGTAAGTGTGCAAGGTGAGGATTCTAGCCACTAGATTGCTTGTTCCAGGCCTGTATCACTGCCCCCCCCCCACCTTTTTTCTTTTCTTCTTCTTTTTTTTTAAAGATTCATTTCTTTCATAGTAAAGGCAGATTTACAGAGAGAAGGATCTAAAGAAAGATCTTCTGTCCACTGGTTCATTTTCCTAGTAGTTGCAACGGCGAGAGCTGACCTGATCCAAAACCAGGAGCCAGGAACTTCTTCCAGTCTCCCACAGGGGTGTAGGGTCCCAAGGGATTGGACCATTCTCCACTGCTTTCCCAGGCCACAAGCAGGGAGCTGGCCTGAAGGTGGAGCAGCCGGGATGTGAAGCGGTGTCCATGTGGAATCCCAGTGCATTCAAGGCAAGGATTTAGCCTGTTGAGCCATAGCTATGGGACCAGGATGTAAGTACTTCCATAAACATTTATCTTAGACTTTTGAACTCCTGATGCATGAATTTTTTGTTTGTAAGAAGTAACATATATTTTAAGTGATGAAATTACACAAATAGTACCTATTGATTGGTGATTTCAATCAAGCTTTCATTAATTTTCATCATTTTGTCAGTATAGGTTTGAATTTATGATCTAGACTTGTTTTGAAAAAATATTTAGTGTTTATTTTCTTTATAAAAATAATACATAATTAGTCTATGTATAATTGCTAAATTCCCTGTGTGTTTTTTTTTGATGGAGTATATAAAACAAAGATTGCTGTTTCTCAAGCAAAAATAAAATGTTGTTTCAACATAGGGCAGACTTACATTTATTTGGGGTATAATAAAGTTTATAGCAGGCGAATTGGGTTAAAATACTAACATAGTCTCTGGATGGGGATTTCTGTATACAGGTCTTAAGTTGGAACTGTTGAATAGTTTGGAAAGTTAAAATAATTTAAACATTTTTAAAATAAACACTAGTTTTATTCTGTTGTTATGATAAAAGTACAGTTCTCTGTCCCCAACCACTTTCTCTAGGTATTTTAAATTATCACGGAAAATGAAAGGAGAGGATAACTTGGTATTCGTGTAAAAATATTTGAAATTTATGCACTTTTCCCATAATAGACGTGTCCTATGAAGTTTTTCCACATTAAACTTACCCTTTAATTCTATTTTCCACAAACTTTCTGAACATCTTGTGTGTTTGTGTGTGTGTGTGTGTGTGTGATCAGACTGAAAAGCTATTTTTGGTACTGATCCAAAGCCAGAGGTGTCCTCTTTGGAAAGTTGAGAGTAGCTCTTCACATTAACCTCAGAACAATGGGAGAAAGTGTGGCAGGGGATCTTAAAAATGGTAAAGGGATCCAAGTACTTTGTTATTCTAAAGTAGTCCAGAAATCAGATTTCTGTGCTCTGGACAAATGGGCATTAAAAGCATTGCCACAAACTATAGACATGGTATTCTTTTTCTTGGCCTCACCATTTTATTGCGTATTGGCTTTTTGGTTTAATTCCAATGGCACAGCTCATAAATGCAGGCTTTTTCTTCTGGGGATTGAAGCAAACAATCATAAAATAAAAATCTTTGATAGCCTGCTCTATTATAAAATGCAACACCTCTTCTTGAAAAGAAAATGCATTTTCCCTTAACAAAAATTGTGTGAAAAGGGAAAACTTCACAAAGAAGAAAGGAAGATGTTAGGATACTTTAAACAATAGTGTAAACCATACGTTATTCCACAATAAATTTCAGTTACAACTGCACGAGTGTGTGTGACTTATACAACTTTGAGAAACGGAGAAAACTGAATGAATAGTTTCAGAGACGGGGAAGAATTCTAACCACAAATATTTGTTCATTGTGATACTTATTTTCTTAACTGATGAGATGAAATTTCAGTTTGTTTATGAGAACCAGCTATTTCTTTTCCAGCCTGGGTAGTTTGCTGAATGTTTTTATATGAATGAAAAGTCCTCTGGCAGGGAATAAACATGATAAGGAACTTCAGCAGTACCCTGTCATGTTTTTAAATTTTGTAGACCTGGCAGTCATTTGATAGGTTGGAAATATGTACCTCTCAAGGAAGCAAGGTTGGAATCTCTGAGTGTATTTTGCATAACAGCCCTCTCGGCAGTTTTATGGTTTTTGCATAGCATGTAAGCAGAGACTGGAATAGCTGGATCTTTCCTGGTTTCATTAGCATAGCCCAGCCCACTTCCAACACACGCCCAGCACTACCTCATTAACCATTGGGACTGCAGCCAAAAGCATAAGACTACAGCGAATATAAGGGGAATTATTGGCGAGAGAGCTGTAGACCAACTTAGCACTGAACCCATTACTTTTTCCAAAATCAGAACAATTTTACACTTACCGGAACCATTTCTCATGCAGATAAGAACTCAAGGTTTTGATCTGTGATTTTTGTCTAGAATAAATAGCTGCACCATAGCAAAACATATAATCTAGCTGCATGTTTCTAAATACTTCTGTTAATCTCTCTCCCCTCATCTCTCTTCTCTTTCATTTGTTTATTTTCTGGATAGCTTTGGCATTGTAAACCACAGACGAGTTGGAGCCTGGCATCGGAAAGAGGTGTTCAGCAACGATTTCTCCTCTTGTCTTAAGAAGTTTACTTCTGCAAGAGGGAGTCTGAAAATGACAGGGGCAAAGAGGAAAAAGAAAAGCATGCTGTGGAGCAAGATGCGTACTCCTCAGGGTGAAGACGTTAAAGAGTGGTGCAGAAGGTGTTTACCTATTTTGGAATGGGCTCCACGGTACAATCTGAAGGAAAACCTGCTTCCAGACACTGTTTCTGGAATAATGTTGGCAGTTCAACAGGTGACACAAGGTAATGTACTGCATTTGATTTTCCAGAAGACATGTCTCTTTGCTTTCTTGGAAGAGCCCTATGACATGGGATGGACAATTTAACTAATGATGTAATTATTACCTTGGGGGAAAAAACACATTGAACATTTCCATACAGTTTTCCTTCGAGTTCTCTGTGTGTGTGTGTGTGTGTGTGTGTGTGTGTGTGTATGCTCTTCTGATACCTAGCATTAAATCAACTTTTTTTTTGGGGGGGGGGACACTATAATTTTGCAATGTTAAAATCCATACTGTTTTAGAGTAAATGACTAGTAAGTGAGAGAGAATCGGTCTTTCAAACTTGATCTTGTAGATGATTTCTTACTTTCACTAAATCAAGCTACAGAATAGCTCCTGCCTTGAAAACACTTGTGATTGGGCATAATTAGCACCACACAATGTCCTGTTGTGGCCCTGAGAGTTGCTATAAGCAAGGAACAAGCCTTTCTGTACATAAAGAAGGCTCCTTGCCAAGAAAATCATTTGCAAAGACAATCTTCTACGTCCTCGGAGCTGATGTTTCACCATGTATGCCAATTTGCTTCTGTGTCACATTGTCTACTACAATTATGTCTCAGTAAGAAATTCAGACTGGTAAGAAGTATCACTTTTTCTTTTCCCAAAGCAATTTCTAACTGATATTCTGGATTTAGCTATTTCCTTTTGGTAACATTTAGTTAACAAGTCTGCGTGTCTGTACACACTGGTGTTTGTAGGTGTGTGTGTGTTGTTTTAAAGGTATATTTGTTACAAATCAGATCATAGTTTACTGCCTGTAGGGAGAAAAGGAGCTAATTTCTCGACTTTGAGAATCTGGAAGAGTTTTCTTGGCACAGATAATGCTGGTTTATATTTCCTTGGAGTGTCACTACCTCCCTGGCATTAAGTATTCTTCACAGTGTTAAATACTCTTTTTAAATTGTTCTGTTACTTCCACAGACTGGTTTGTGCATTTGTATTTTCAGTGTGATTAGAAACACATGTACTAGTAATTTTAACTTTAGGACACATAATATAATCATACTTTATGAGGTTCCACTCCACTGAATGGCCTTGTATTACATCTTGAAGCACCTTTTGGCCAATAGTAAGTTGTAATGGTCTTTCACAAAAATGCAATGTCAGTGACGGGCTATGGTGTTTTTAGCTTTGTTCTTATTGGATTTTAAGTTCAAAATGCAACACTGGCACACAATTTAAACGTTTTGGTGGTGAACTTAAAATGACTTTCTTTTAGCATATAGTTTCAGCATATTAGAAGTTTATTCTAATTTTATGGAAAATGAAGAATTATGCTTTTAATAATATCAGGTTAATAAGCAAATGTTGGTATGTGATAATGTCACTTGTGGTATCCTGGTGGTGGTGTGGATAGTTGTGTGGTGCTTATTTGAATACAGCTCTTGAGGGTTTTTGTTTTATGAGTCATATGTTTCATTGGTTATGAAGAAGCACCTAGTCTGATTAGAATACCAATGCTTACTCAGCCCTTTTGTCATGGGAAGTTATGGATCTGGATGCTGGTTGTCTTGGAAAACAGCAGGGAAAGGATAAGACTACAAGGTTAGGAAAGATTTCTATGATTGTGACTACAAAGGAAAAAGGCTATTCATCCTGTAAGTAACTTTAAAAACAAAAAAGCGAGGACCTTCAACTTTCATGTTCATCCACTATGAAGAATGAAGCAGTGAACTATTAGGCATTATGTGTTGAAAGTGATGTATTAAACCCTCTTTACACCATCTCCCTCTCCTTAATAAAACCCTCAGACACTAAAATTTGTCCATTCTGTTTGTGAAAAACGGGCTTAGAAGAGTAATTTTCCCTGTACTTTATACCTGAGATGTGGTAGATTTTTTTTTAATTGCAAAGCCAACACTCTTAACATTTCCTTTTTCTACTCTCCACTGCCAAAATAACCAGACTTCACAAAACCAATGTTATTAGTAATGGAGCACACTCCTTTGGAAAAATGTGAATATTCTTCCTTTCAGCTTATGTTTGCATTGAGGTTCCATCCCTGTAGTTCATAGACTCAAAGGTAAAGGAACGAGAGAAATGGCTATAGTAAGGTACTGAGTAAGGGAGTGATCCTGACAGGGATATGTCCTATGTGTACAGCTACAATATTGGAAATTATCTTTAGCTGCAATCCTTCAGGAAAACTGGAAGAAAGCTGGGGACAATTTTGTGTTTTGCATCACAGTGAAATCCAGACATGACAAATAATAGCAATCTTCTGAAAATATGGGTTTCAATTACTCTACATAGTTGAATTTTGTGAAATTGTCAAGTTCAATGTTTTTCACTCCCAAAATTCAATGTAATAGATATTTTTATTCTTCTCCCTTAAGAAATATATCTAAGATTAAGCAGGATCGGGAAACTAACTTTGAATGTTATTTGTCAATTTCTTTATGCAATGACATGCTTTCATGTTCTTTATAATCACAAGTTTAACCCTCCACCAAAGAACTCAACAACTAGTAAGTAGAAAGACTACTATCCCTAGAGAAAATATTAGTCTTAGTACAAAATACTAAGAAGCCATTGCAAATTATTTTATTAAAAATAAATTCTATTAAATTTTTTCTAATTATTAACAATAACCACTTGTTAGTGATGTGTATTTGACTCCCTTCTGGCATGTTCTGTGTAGTGAATACTATAGAAACTCTTCTCTTTGTGCTTAGATTCTGCCCTTTTGTGCTTTTCCACTACATACCTGCTTTCTTTGAAGCCTTTCCACATTTTTCTTCCTCTTCTGCTTGTAAAATTTCAGTGCCCAAATGGTGCCTTTCCCCAAAAGCACCATGGGTGGTTTAATCTGCAGAAGATTCTTACCACCATCACTATTCTAATGAAAGTTTCTTTTCAGCCTGAAATCTAAACACAAATTTAACTATGCAAACCTAGAATGGGCAGAAACACCTCAGATTCAACAGATGAAAGCCGGTTTGGACAGCCGCAACCATCTTGTTGGAAATGGGCTGAATATATTACTCTGCTGCTGATTGCTAATTCAAGCTTCTTGTTCATGTGGGTCCTGGGGGGGTAGAAGGCATTGACACGGGTGATTGGGTCCTTGGCCACCATGGGGAAGATCTCCTACCTTAAGGCCAACAGCTTCTGACACTACAGGGAGTGAACCAGTAGTGAGAGCGCTGTTTATCTCTCAGTCTCACTTCTTTACAAATAAATCACTCATTAAAAAAAAAAAAAAGGCCTACTCTTATTATTTTTTTAAATAAAAAGGTGATATACCTTTTTCATGAATTTGATTATGCCCCTACATATACAAAACTGAAGCTCGGGGGAATACAACAGTTGCTTAAAGTCACACAACAAATAGAAGAGACAGGATTGGGGCTCGATCTGGCTCCACGACCACACCGCCACTGTTAGAGCAGAGAAAGTCCTGGCGATCATTGTGTTGTAACCCTTCCCACTTGGTTACATCCTCCGCTAGGTTCCTTTGTTCCTGGCCTCTAAGGCTCTTTTTTCCCATCAAGCAGTTCTGCGTCTTGATTCCTGCTGCTGCCTTAACTCACTGTTTGAGTTGTTGAACTCCTTCTCTATTGAGTCTTCATACTCTGTCTCCGCCTATAGGCCACTTTTCATACTGCAGCCAGAATATCATTAAACTTAAATCTACTGCTTTCCTGTTTAGAATTTATGACTATTCTCTAAAATTACTAACATCCAACACTTTTCATCCAAAGCTCTAGTCATAGAGATCTCTCCTCTGAGAATCCCTCCTAATCTCCTGGGAAAGTGTATGGTTTCTTACCTCCTACTCCATTTGTACCTCTGGTGTCTCTGCGATAAGCCTTAACACAATGTGTTACAATCTTTCCTTAGAACTCTTTCCTTACGAGTCTGTCGGCTCTAGCAGCAGACACAATGGCTACATCTTTATGCTCTTATTCATCTCTACATTGCCTGGTGCATAAGATTTAGGTTTTTAATAGATGTTTCTTGGGGGAATGAACACATTCTAGAAGCCACAGATTGTTCTATTACAGCACACCCAGGGAAGAAAGTTAAATTAGCTTACTTAAAAATAAATGAAATAAAGATATCAATAGTTAAAACACATGAAAACATGAGCAACTGATTTCTTGCAATTTCTCTTATTTCTGAAAATTACAAACTTGCAACCCTTTAGTACAATCTGGTGTTTTCTTTGTCCTAAATAGTAATTGAATTTCTTCTTTCATCAGCATCAGCAAATATGAATAGTTTTTACAATAATCCAAAGGCTTAACTTTTCTTGAAAAAGAAAAAGAAATGGCCAAACGGGGACAATATTCCCAAGGAACAAGGATTGGCTGGACCTATGAATAGTTTCAATCTGTTTCCATTGCCAAGGGACTTTCCAGCATCTTTTGTTGAAATTTTTTGAGCTCATTCTTGGTTAAAACCTTCTTATAGAGGTTATATATAATTAGCTTCCTGAATTAGATCCATGCAATTTTCAGGTGTATGGACCTGGACTAATATATTATAATGTGCCTCATATTTTTATAGTTTTGTGTGCCATTACTCTGTTTAAAACAAAAAAAGATTATGGAGTCCATCTCCTCTACCAAACTGTTGAAAGGATTTCTGCCCCTTCTCAAGGTTTATAAATTTAATACACATGTGTTCATTTCAAAGAAAGAATAAGAAACTTGAAGTCACTCCTGCACTATGTTCAGGAAGCATTCTATATTTGAAGCATTTTGAAAGTTTATGAGCTCCCCTTATCAATGGCAGGTAGGAATCATCAATAGTTAGCATGTATTACATTGTTCTTTACCTGACTCGAAGGCCCTCATTTCCAAATGCATCTGAAATATAGGTAAGCTTTTGTAGAGCAAATCATTAAGTTAAAACATATCACCAAAATGATTGGAAACCTTTTTTGAAATTCTGATTTTACAAGTTATAATTTTGCGGGTACAGGGCTTTGCCCGCCAACCCCTTCTCTCCCATGAT